TGTGTTGGGTGTGCTGAAAATACGCCCAGTTAGTTTATTTAAACCTGATATCCTGGATTTGACAACCCAGGGTTCTTGTATTAGTGCCAGTGTACCCTGCTCCACATCAAGGCGGCGGCATAATGCAGCCGTTGCCGCCCTGCTGTGTTGCAGGTTACACTGTACCACACTTACCTTTGTTAAACCAAACATTGTGAATCCAATATGGTGTTCGTCTTTTATCCTCCTAACCTCCTAAGAGGAGGGGTGGATTTCCTCGTCCCCCTGCGCCAGAGATGGAGGAGTTGAGGAGGTGGCTGCATTTGCATGCAATTCCGCCTCTCCAGCCTCCGTTTCCATCTGCTCCAGCGGCCCGGAGGTTGCCGTCGGCGCAGGTTTGTGTGTTTTGACCCTGAGAACGAGGGACTGGAAGATGTAGTGCATCTTCATCGACCTCGCCTCCAGGGTTTTCAGGTCCTCGTCTCCGATTCCGAAGACGAGTAGGTGGCCTCGTGGGTCATCCTTAGCCTCGTGGTGGAACAGGCGCCACCTGTTCACACTCACCGTGGGGTTCTGACCCGCCAGGCGACGCATCACCACCTCCTTTTCCCCATGGTCGCATCCAGCTTCCACGGAAATCCAGAGAGTGGCTTTCGTCAGCTTTGGCAACTGGTCAGAGCGCACCACGGCTAGGGCACTGCCCTCCCACGGGTTCAGGCTTCCCACTGCATCCGTCAACCACGTCCGTGTGTACTCGTCCTCGCAGACAACCCTGATGATCTCACCAGAGTATGTCCACGAGCGAAACACAGGTGGTCTAATGGTAGCGTCGGGAGTTAGAAGAATTTTATCCAGCTCCACCAGCAGTAATTTTTTGATAATGGACTCCCTATCCTTGGGAATTTTCCCATAGGGATTGTCCTTATCAATAATTGCAACCCTAAGCTGACCTAGGGCTGCATCGTTATATGTGGAAGTGGTGGGGGGGGCTGTTTTGCCCTCTTGTACCTCATCGGAGTGGTGTCCGATGAGGTTCCCGACCTATTCCTCTTTTTATGGGGTGGCACTCCGTGAGGATGCTCTCCCTTCCTGGCTGGTGGATTCGCCTGGGAAGGTGGCACACCTTTCGGGTGCTCAGCCTTCCCTATAGGCGGTCCACTTTTGCCTGGGTGGCGTTCGTCCCGCATAGGCAGGTAGGCCCTTAGATCCGCCAACCGCCCGTGCAGGACCACGCACCCCAGACATTGTAGGCTGCGCCCGAAGAGTGGGTGCGCGTTCAGAGGAGGGAGCTGCAATTGCAGCTCTAGCCGCCTCTTCACGCGCTCTGCCTCCTCTTGAACTCAGCCCCACAGATACGTCTGCCCCTTCTTTTCTTTTCGGGCTCTTTGTTGTCCCCCATTTAAGGGATAATTTGGGACGATGGTCCCGGCTGTGGCGAGCGTTGCCGCTCTGCCTCAGGTTAGGGTAGCAGCGAGCGTTGCCGCTCTGCCGCGGGGGGTTTGGCATTATTATTCGTCCACCTGGCTCCCCACCCACCACGGAGCCCATCTAGGGGATGCTGCAAACAGTCACCAGGGCTACCAAGTGGATATAGCTCCCGGAAGCAGAACGGCGTCGAGAGAGGGTTGTGCATCCCTGAACGCCGGAGCCAACCGACGCTCAGTTCTGCAGCCCCCTACGCGCCCCCTGCCCCAAGAGCTCACCCTGCCGGCCCTCTGACGGGACAACACAGCCGATTGACCGGGAGTGGGTTAGTTCCCGGCCGCCCGTCTAGTCGAATTCCGGACCGAAGTGGCGTGTTGCAGGCACGGCCTGCTCAACCACCAGGTACCCTTCCTCCGACGACACGGGTCGCCACGCACGGCACAAACACGTGGGAGCTGGTCCGCGGGGTGCCTTCGCTGGGGTCCAAGCCAGGGGGTTAGCCCCAGTGGACCTGCTTATGACGACCCTCGACATAGAACCAAGGTCCTATGGCTTCCCCTATCCGCCACCCGAGGACGCGCCTGGTAGGTAGCTCAACCCTCAGGAATTCTCTACATGTTCTTGAAATTACTTTGTCACATTGTCCATAAATAACAAACAAATTAACATAATCCTCATTAGTATAATTTAAGAGGCATTTTTATTTAAATTTCGTCAAAAACGGACACAACAATAATTTGATGTCAAATTATTTTAATTGTTTTTGGAGTGTTTCTGGTCATGGCCAATTTGATAACAGGTCTGATACGAGAAAAACTGCCCAAAAAATGAAAATTGCAAATATCTATAAAAGTAGTAACGGCAACCCTAACCATGCGTATATGGCTTGAAAGGAAATTTCAATCGCATACAACGGAGTAAAAAAATACAGGGTGTTCCATTTAAGTTAACAAAGATGTAGCTGTTTAAAGTTATCAAAATGTAACAGAAAAATGAACCACCTAGTATTAAATGATTTAATTTGTTGGTATACCATGATTTAGTGTTACCTATGCCCTTTACAGATACCAAAAACCCACTTGATATCACGCTCCTGAAAAGAGTTACTAGCATCTCCGCATTCTTCTCGGATCCTTGCATCTGTCAAATTTTTTCTTTAAAAATTAATCTCAAAATCTATAACTTCTAGGTAATATTTAATAGTGACACTCAAATTTCACGTAGTATCCGAAAATGCAATAATATACAGGGTGTCCCATTTAAAATAACAAGTTAATCTCGACTTCCTGTATAAAGTTCTAAATATTTTAGCTGTGTTGGACCTATAAGGTACCTTTGCTAGGTTGCCAAATTTTCATATTATTTATCGGATCAGTACTGTCCGAGATGACGATAGTGGCGATACTGCAACTTATTCCAATTTTATCGGACTGGTATCTCATTCCATAACCCAAATCCCCTTAAATGATTTAGAAATCTTCAAAATGCTTTAACAGTAAAAGTACGTGCATAAAAGAATGTATTCAATACGATTTTTGTTTTAACGATAAATGAATAGTGCTTCTTTAATAGAAATGGAACTTAAAACTTCCTTAAAAACAATATTTACACCCCACATAAAATTTACACAGAAACATAAAAAAACAGTTCTACCTATAATAAAAAATAAAATTCAATTACTGGCTACAATGTAATGAGAATGAATGAAGCAAGTCTCTATAGAACTCGACAACTACTTGCAGAATATATCTGTTGGTTTTAATAGAACCCAGTAAACTTGTAGGTAAATCCTTTGTAAATGTGTCACGAAAATTATAGTTGGAGTTTAAAAAATCTGGAGGTATGAGAAAAATTTACAAAATTAAATGAATGAAAATGACAGTTCCATTTGTTCGCATTTTTATTTGCTCTAATAAAAATAAAGCAATTTTCTAATACAAATAAAGCAATAAAGCAAATATGGAAATTAACTGTATAATTTATTTATTTTTGGGTTAATGCACGCATAGGTTTCTGGAAATAAAGAACATAGCGTTAATGAAATAAAATAAACAGAACGATAACCGAGACTTGAAATAGAAAATCTTAGAACTAAATTGTTTGCAATTACTAATTCAATTAATAATTATAAAATATATTGCTTTACAGGGGAACTCATTGCTAACTTAACATCAACAAAAAAGCAATTAGACGTTACTGTTTCTGGAGTACTATCATACAACATTCAAAACGACGCTGTTCATGGTAATAGATGTGGTAATATGTCTTGAATAACTAATATAACTTTTACATTACTTGCTTTTAGCTAATGTGGGTCAAAAATCGCCTAGGCATTTAGATGGTAAAAGTCAACCAATGGATTTAAAAATTGATTGCCAAATGACACCCTGGAGTAATTGGAGTTCGTGCAACGCTACAAATGGAATGTGTGGTCATGGATACAAAATGAAGCAAAGATCTGTAGTGGTAAGTACCACTGTGTTTTAAGCCTAGTAAATGTTAAAGTTTATGAGCATTATTAACAGATGTGGTGGTGGTATGTATTAATAAGTAACAAATGTGAACTTAACCTTCCAAAAAGATATTTTGCACATTAGTTTATACCGATAGTTTTCTTTGTTTCTCAAACTTCCCATGGCTCTCTAAGAATAATATAGATTAATTTGTAAACTTCTAAGAACATGATAGTAAAATAAAGAATATATTCTAGAAAAATTATAAAACAAACAAGCAAACAAATATGTATGCAAAGCATACTAGGCCGAATTTCGCTACACTTTAAGGGTGTCCCGAAATTAGGGGGCAATATTTCTACAGTCTACCTTTTTTATCACATACGTTCCAACACTGGGGGTAGGGGGGCAAAATTTACCATAAGTTTTTTATGTTTTGATAATCTTTACTTTGAGATGAACTTGTTTGATGAAAAGAAATTGTTAGCTAATATTACAGCATTGCCTTTTCTTCATTAATTGAACATAAAATTATCAGTTTCTTAATACTTGAAGAATATTTAATAAGAAGACTTGCTAATGCACTAACACTCTGTCGGCGATGTGAAACTCTTAGTTATTGAAACGTATGAAACGTAGGTACGTCGCGCTTTTGATTACACATAATGTGTTCTAAGTTTTAATGTAGTGCCCTTACTCCTAAGCTCAAATGGTAACCAATCATAATAAAATCTAGTGGTTAGCTATTAACGTATTAACAAAGAATGTTTTCTTTATTTTTCAGTTTCACCCCCAAAATGGCGGTCTTCCTTGTCCATCTAAGCTAGTAAAACGAAAAAAATGTAGGAAATCTTGTAAGACCAAATTTCAAAACCAAGAACACACCAACTCAAATAAAATAGATATAGACTGCGTCGTGGGCCCCTGGTCAGAGTGGTCAAAATGTGGTTCAATTTGCGAGAACGAATATCAGCATAGATTTAGACACGTTTTAGTTCACCCTAAGGCTAATGGAGAAAAATGTCCAAATAAGGTGGAGAAACGACCATGTCCCTGCAATTGATCCAATCTAAAACCGTTTTTTAGATTTCTTAACATCTAACTTATTATTTTAAGATACATTACCACAAGAAAACAAGGGAATGAATATCTAGACATATTGTGAAATTAAAACATATCCTGCTATGCTATAACCTTTTTATTTGGAGTATTTTCTGAAAAGGGATAAACTAATTTGCGGAGCGCTCAGTTTTCACTGATTTTGCTCTTGAACTTGGGGCAGATTTTATTTTCAAATTTGACATCACGTGTAAACTAAATATTAGCAGTAAATAATACTTGGCATGTAACATATTTGATGGAAAGAAAGGTTGATTATAAAATGTGTTTCAAAATTATTAATAAGTAATGGCCTGTTCGGTAAATATTTGTTTTTTTTTTTGTTCCTGACATTAATGGCAGTGGCGGCTCGATAGGTGACGCAAGTGACGCACCGCTTCACCTAAAATTTCCGTTTGGTTGTGCAATTTAAAATTATTTTTAATTTTATATACATTTTATAATTTAGGTATAATTTTATATTGAAAATGTATTGTGTTTGTTTTATACACAGAAATAAACAGAACAGTTGCGCGATGACCGCCTATTAAAAAAACATTGCCTTCGTTGAGCAAGCGATGCGGATCAAAATCAGTTTGTATTTCGCTTCACTTCATAGCTTTGTTTACGGCGGTTGTCATCGCAACGAGGCGGTTAACACGTGAGTAAACTACGGCGTGGGGGAACGAGTGACGCGAGCATCGCCATCGCCCATCACCTGCCTTGACTTTACATATTTTATACGATACGTCGCCCAATGCACGATTATAACGGGTCTTTGTTAATATTTGTTTTATATCAATAATTGTAAAAATGTTTCCTATGTATGATCCAGTATGTATTTTATTGGAAACGCCATTTTCCAGATGGAAAATTGCGGACAAAAAGGATTTTTTAAATTGCTAGAGACCTGTGCTTCCTCTCGATGTTGAAAAAAGGGGGAAGTCAAAAGACAAAGTATGCGTTCGGAAGTTTCGGAATGAATGGTATTCGGAGTATAAGTGGTAGTGTAGAAGTGTTTATTTAAAAAAAACTTTTCTGTATGCCGAGTTTAATTGTGTTCCTATTTTCTATAAAATCTTAATGAAAATCCTTCTCGTGAACGTCAGTTTTTCGGTAATATTGCAAATGCAACTAAAAATTTACAGATTCATTTAAAGCCGCTTGACCTTGAAAATTTGAAAATTTTCGCCTACGGCGCTTTTGTTTCTTTTTAGTCAATCAACGAATATGCTTCTCCTATTCTCAATGTCACGAGCCGCCACTGATTAATGGTGGAATTTATTTAAATGAACACAATGTATAAATATAAATATTAATTACAAAAATATCTTTTTTTAAATAAACTATTTAGTTTGGGTATTTCTGCCACACAGTAAAGAAATTAAAATTTTAATCAGTGTTAATTATCTAGATTTATTCTTGCCTAACCACAAACAACTCACACTGAGAAAGTAGATAATAAAACTTTAATCAAAATAAATTCACTTTCAGTCATTTCCAAAATGTTCTAAATTATTAAATTCATTGGAAAGAAAATTTGATGAATCAGTGCACTGACCAAAAATTATGGAACTAGTAATTTATTTAAAAATAAAATGCTCCAATTAGTTCTAATGTCACCATTTTGACAAACTGTAAAAAATAACAATTATGCCACAACTAAAAGACTTCAGACAATAATTCACAATATTTTCTACTTTGCAAATTTTTATTTATAAGATGATATTTTCATCTAAATTCTATTAATAAAGTGTTTTCTTAATTTTCTGAATTGCTGCAACTGCTACTTATTTTAAGTAAAACAAGTTCAATTGAAATTGTTGTTTAATGGTAGGCATATTTTATTGGGTTGAACAATAAGTAATGTTTTTTTTTCAAATTTAAGATATTTTATTTTTAACTCTACAATTTAATAGGCTAATCAGTGATGTATTCTCCATCGTTATTTATGACCTTCTCCCAATGTCCAACAAATTTCTCGACGACTCTTCTGAGAAACCTTTCGGATTTGACTCGAAAAACTCATCCAACCTTAGCTCATTGTCGTTGACTGTTAATAGTGTTATCATGAACGGTTATCTATATTCTCAATGTGTGATATTTGTGATTAAGCAAAATAATTTTGTAACACCAGCCTTTTACTGCAAGAGGCCATTTATTTAAAATTTATTGTTTTCTTTAGTGTGACAGAAACAAACGCCCAATTTAAAAATGTCTATATTTTTCAGTGACCAGACACATTTTCTATGCTGAATAACAGTGATATTGAAAGAAATGTACTTAAATATAATTTAGACGTATTAAAAATAGATTTGAACACGTGTGAAAATAGTCACCCTGTATATACTACAACTTCATATTTTTTATTGTTATTTTTATTTTCCAAATCAAGTAGTGTACAGAGTATTCCGGAAATAAGTGCAGAAAAATTATGGGGAGATTTTACTCATGAAAGCAATAATTTAACTTTCTTCAACAGTTTTTAGAAAACTATTAACATAATTACATAACAAAAATCCAAAGCCCAAAGAAAGATCAGTCGCAATGTTCCTAATAAGTAAAGGAATGATGAAAGTTATTAAAAATTCTTGCAAAAAGAGAAAAAACGTATTTAATTTATTACAGCGTTATTTTCGAACCAGGTTTTCCGCTCATACCCGGATAAGTTATAGTTATTTTAATTTTGAAATTTGTAAGTTTTAAAATGATTCAATTCATGATTTAGCAAATAACTATTTATAATGGTATAAAACACAACATTCAATTATTTACTTTAATGTACAGCTGTTTATTTTTATATATAAAATATATTAAAAAAAGCATGATAAATTTTCTAGTCAGTAATATAAATTGGTATTAAAGTTATTATTTTTATAGATATAGAATCATCCCCTGAAATGTTTGCTTTTATTTCCGGAACCTTATACTATGTCTAAGTACTTAATAGCATGCTGTAAATTTTTTAACCTTGAATTCAATCGTTTCCTACCATTTCTCAAATTTTAATTAGAAATATTTATTTTGTTTTGATGTTTTCATTTTATTTCATAAAATTATTATTGGCTACGATATCATTGTAAATTTATTACAACTTGAAACAGAATTTTTAATTCTGGAATTAAAAAAATTGACTCCAGATTTGCACATTTTTACAAAGAAAAGGCAATTGAATATTACTTTCCTCCGAAGTTACTTTACTTTAGTGGTTTTGTAAATAGATTTGTAAGTCTGTAAAGCGTCATTTTGAATTTGCTAAATATTAAAAAGGTATTTTTCTTAAACATTTGAAACAGGCAGTAATAAAATAGACACTGTAGTGAACGTTATTACGTTTTGGAACTGTACTGAAGAACAGATACCTAATTTAATAACATGAAAAATAAATTATTTTTGAATTTGTAAAAATGGTACTTGGGTCATCGTTTGAAGCCAAATAGCAAGTTGTAATATATCATAAAATACCTACAGTGAACATTGTCATAGAAATTTACACAATGATTGTTTCTTAAATAGGGGCATCCACAAAACACGTGAAATTTTGACATTTGACATTATTGTGAAATTATTGTAGTATAACAACCCCGGGTTCGATCGAAAAAACGAAACGTAGTTGTGGCCAGAAATATGTGATCGTCATAAGGAATACCTACGTTGTATACATCTATTTTTTTAATTGACCGGCACTTTGAAGGCACTGGCTACTAACTTTAAAGTGGGGAAGTATGGTTTAATTTTATAAAACAAAAGCAGAACAAATACACCTAACTTTATTATTTACGTACAACAGTCTTCAAATTAAACATGTGACACATAGAAAGAACAACAAAACTTTAACAACCATTTAACATAAAATGAGAGTGCCAGGCTCACCTAGAGCTCCTGTGGGGAAAGAGCATGGCAGACAAACCCACGATCGTTGCTCTAACTACCCAAATATAAATACAAAACAACCGCTAACAAAAGGCATAAACTAGGATCCTTTGCTAATGATAATTAACACCCGACTTATTTAATGTCTCACTAAATGTCACCTCACTCGAATTAGACATACACACTTCCAAGTAAAACTGAAGAGGTTTGGTGTTAGTTAGCCGGCAGGGCCGGAAGGTACTGGAGTCCCATACGGGAGGCAATCCAGCTATGAGTTGAGATTTCGGAAGATCTGTTTTAGCAATTCTTGACGTAAAGTGAGCACAAGAAATGCTTTACCTATTATTTGTTTTTCGAACAATGTAATCATGACAAACCAAGTTAAATGTGAAACAAATGAGTTGTTATTGCAATATCCGGGCAGTCACGACAATATATACATATTTTAACATGTAATAAATAATGAGCAGTCTTTAGTAATAATTGTGACAATTTTACGTTAGAAAAATATACGCCCCTGAGCATAAGACAATGAAGGCTAAACATATACAGAATTATTATCATGAAACGTCTATAATCATCACAATCATAAGATTACATAGAACAATTAACAACAAAGTACTTAAAGAATAATTACCTGCTAATTAATACCGGTTAAACACTTTAATTTTTCACTACTTATATATTTTCACCGTACACCGATCGTTTTACTTTTCACTCTGCGCTCTCCTCACTTCCACTATCTAGGCTTCCTTTCAGAAATCCCCACCTATAAGCGCTTGTTTTTGCGCTTCCTTCTACCAACTGTCAATATTACGTTTTCATTATTATACAACACTCATGTAACAGGTGACGTCGATGTTGATACGATAAATATGGTTTTGCACATTATTATCAACAAGTTATAGATTTCCTCAAATTTTCCAACAATATTGTACAAAAGTTTAACAAAGTTTGCACCTGTCATCATTTTCGAAACAATTAATTGTGTTAATTTTCATGATAATGTTTCTTGCGTGTAGATCACGTGAACATGTACAACTTTACGATCAGTTTATTCACACTAATCCAAATTTATTTATTTGTTTATTG